TAGATTTATTTGTTTTTAATTTTTCTTAACCTACTTTATTAGAATTAGTATTTTCTTGGTGCTCAACTTGAAGAAAAGATGTATCACTGCTGTGCTGGGAACTGATGCGAGGACATGGAACTCCATGATCTTCTTCTTCCCCAAGGAGTTAGAGGCAAGGCCAGGCATGAAGACTGGGGTAGGGCCTGAGGGACAAATGAAATCCTTCCCTAAGTTTATTTTCAGAAAGCTAGTTCTTTTGGGGAAACCAACAACTCCCTAGAGTGTCTTCTGGGTCCTTACTGGTTCGCTTTATGCTTGAAAAGACACCCTCCCTCCTTCTGCCAAGAGCCCATTGCATGAGATTTTTCTCACAGTGGTTTACCATGGAAGGAATTTTGAGCATGCATTACAAAGGTTGTTGTTTTCCTACAACCTGTGCCCCTGTGAACATGAGATTTAGCTGGTGGTAAATTAGCCTTATTCTGCCTTGATTTCACATAAATCCTGCTTTCTGGCCTAGAAGTGAAGGTGATCATTTTTGGCTTGGATTTTGGCATTGGGTCATTGAGTTGGGATAATCTTGGGGAAAGAAAAATGGGTTAGAGATGGTGCCTCCTGGCATCACTCTGTGGCAAGAACACCCTGCAACCATGCCCTACCTGATTGTGAGGGCAGAACATGGATTCAGGAATCAGAGAGAAATTAATTTAAATATAGACTCATCACTTACTGTATGTTTCTGGAAAAGTCCCTGAGTCTCATTTATTTTTCGCTAATGACATCATACTGGCTGCGGTGAGCAATGGTGCGAGGCACAGAGTGATGGGGTTCCTTTCCTCCCACTGCCACTACTACCACCTAGCACTCCTATTTCACCAAGAAACTCCTATTTCATTTTAATTCAATAAACTTTGGAGGCCAGCAGGTGGCATAGTGGTTAAGTTGCTGGGACTCCCATGTGATCAACCATGGTTCGAGTCCCAGACCTGGTGGCTTGAAACTCACGCCGGTCCTGTGTGCATGCATGCCCAAAATCCCAAGAGGAGAATGAAGGAGAAGGGATCACAGTGTGGCCATCCCTGCTGAGGGTGATTTCTCACTTTCTATCTCTGTCTCTCTTGTGAGCACACATGCCCTACAGCAAAAATCTCTCAAAAGTAAAAAAGAGAAAAAAAATGTAACAAGTTTTTATTGAACAGCTTCTATTCATGGGGCCCGTAACACCTGGGGCCACTAGTGGCTGGCACCCAGTAGGTATCCCACGTTTGTTAAGTAAGCGAACGTGCTAACTTGGTCCTTGTATTTTACAGTTTATAACATACTTTAAAAGTAACCTCATTTTAATCCAAGCCACAACTGTGTGTAGGAAACAGACCCCACTGCTCTATTCCCACTGTCGGTGAACAAGAAGAAACAGGCTTGGGGAGAGGAAGTAACTTGCCTAAGGTCAGGTATGTGGTAAGAGCAGAGTGGGACTTGGATAGGAGCCAGTGCTCTGTCAACAGCACACTGCCAGCACTGAAGGGTCTCCTGTCCCCACTGTGGCCACTGCCCAGGCTCTTTGCACGTTCTGCTGGAAGGGTTCCACTGAGCATGGCTCCCACCCCACTGTCCAGCATAGCATGTCACAGCTGAAAGCGAAGAGCACCATCACGGGTCTGGCAAGATTTAAAATAGGAAGCATCTGTCAATGTGCAGGCTTCGTTCTCTCAGGCCTGGGCTATGGTGCGTGCTAGTGTACCTGGCTGCTCCCATGTCTACCTCACTGGGCTCTCAAACCCTCCCCATAGTGTGCAACAGCACTGACGTCCACACGTCACCCTGCATCTCCCCAGTCATCTTTCTAGGTCACGAAGAGGGAGTGCTGTGTCCACAGGATGCTAGCCATTCTGGAGCAGGAGGCTCTGAACATTTTAGGGACTCTGCACATTTCACAGTTTACCCTCTTGCTCCCAGGAGCCTTTTAGAACCCAGAAAGCGGACGGGAAGTCACTATGAAGCTCTCTGCTACTGTGGGCTGGCAGCCTCTCTTTCTTCCCACTCCTCTAGCTCCTGAATTGCTGAGAAGTGCTGAGAGATGCAGAATAAAATGGGTAAGATAGGAATATTTCAAAATTTGCCTGCATAGCTGGCCCCAATACCATTTCCAGCATGAATTGAAGGATAGAAGTCAGGTCTGACCACAATGCTGCATCATCCACAGAGATTGAGCACAACCTTCTCAAAACCACTCTGACAACACACCCTGCAGAGGATGGGTGTTCTGGCGGAAGGGCGTCACTGTACACACTGTGCGGTGTGCAACCCAATGCCTCGGGAGTGAGGTCAGCCCCCCCCCCCCCCCCGCCTCTT